CAGCAGCCCACAGGCTCCGTGACCCACCCGTGACTTAGCCAGCGCTAAGTAGGAGAGCTGGGATCGTCCTTGGTCACCTGCAGCCTGTAGGGTCCTCCACCCAAGCTGCCCTGAATGGTCGCCCAGGCTGCACACTAAACGAGACCAGGGACACCGTGCACCACCCTGTGCCCTGCAGGAGGCCCCCAGAGGAAAGCAGCACCGCCCCTCAGCCTAACAGTCCCTCTCTCAGCTGCCATCCTTCTCCCTCCCTTGTTGGTACGGGGAGGAGAAAAATGATTGTGGGCTGTTTGCTTCCAGTCAACAGCGGGGAGACCTGCACCTGGATTGCTCCCACCCCACATCGCGTCCCTTTGGCGCCTGATTCAAATTGCACAGGAATGTCTCCATGTCCCTCCTCAGATGTAACTTGCTGTGGGGACAGGGGACACATCACCACTAACTGGGCGACCGAGCCCAGCCCTTAACTTCTCTGAGCCTCAGGTCCACATCTGAACACCCCGGGACATAACAGCCACCTCCTTCCTGAGCTCAGGTAGGCACAGCACCTGCTCGCCGGCCGGCATGGGTGTAAACCCGCTTCCCCAAGGCCCACTGCCGGTCCAGCGCGGGGGGGAACACGTTTAACCAGTGACACCCACACCCAAAGCTCGAGTCTCTGCCTGCACCCTGCTTGCAGGGTCTCGGGAGCCCACCCTGACCGCGGGACTCCTGTCCACCCACACTCAGGAGGTCCAGTGGCCAGGACCCAGAGCAGGCCTGCAGGACCCCAGAACCTGGCTGTCCCCACTCCAGTTCAAGGAAGGTGGCTCCACAGCTCAGGGAGAGGAGGCAGCGCTGACCCAGACCACCCACAGGGGCTGTCCCAGGGGCAACCCCACCTCCCAGCCACGAGTAGGCCAGGCGAGGGCAGAAGGCTGGTCTCCTCCCAGGAGAGAGCCCCCGCCACTGTGGCACCTCCCAGGGTGGAGTGAGCATGTGGGGAGAGGAGAGGGGCCAGGCCTGCCCCCAGGACAGGCAGGCGCTGGGCCAGGCCCAGAAGACTTCACAGCCCAGGACAGTAGTTGGGCGGTTTCTCAAGAAGGTAAACATAGAGTGACCGTACGGTCCCCACCACTCCTGGGTGTGTACCCCCCAGAACTGAGAGCAGGTGTTCAGACAAATACTTGTGTAGGAACGTTCATAGCAGCACAATTCACACCAGCCAAAAAGCTGGAAACAACTCAAACACCCATCAACAAAATTAGGACAATCTCCTACATAACCACAAAACTACCATCAAGCCTAAAAAATGTCATAATCATTCCATATTCAAAAATCCCCGAGTAGGGCAAGGAAGTCTTGATTGTCCTTTTTTTTTTACACCAGCTGCAGTTAGTTATTTCTCTTTAGTCCCTAATGTCCTTATTTTGTGGTGACATGGACTTTCACAAAAGCCCAGACGCATTATCTTGTAGAATGATCCACGTGTGTGATTTGCCGATTGTTGTCCCATGGCGTGGTCACCTTGTTCTTCTGTCCTCATATTTTTTGTCATCTGAGAGTAAATCTGGGGCCCTCAGTGGATTCGGTCGCTTGCTGTGGGCACCATGCTCTGTGTCCTTCCCATGGCGTCATATCTGATAGTGGGTCCCCGGGTCCCTCTCTGACAGACGCTGAGTCTGATTGTGTGGTCGAGGCTGATCTCCTGATTGTGAGGGGTCTTCACCGTGCAATCTGCAGACACCCGGGGCCCCAACACAGCAGCCTATTTCCCGAAGTGCTCTCAGCCAGTGATTCAAGCGTCCGCTGAATACCCTCGCTGGGAGCAACTGTTAGATGAGCAAATTGTTACATGAGCAATTGTTACACGATGGTGATTCTCTAATTCCTTCCACATTTATTAGCTGGATTCCCCTAAAGGAGATATTTCTCTCATTTTTTTTTCTTTCCTCTTTTATTTTCTTTTTGTTCAACACCTTACAAATAATTTTTCATGCTCAAGTTGTCCTAAATTTGGTCAATGGGAACCCCAGGAAGGGAACAAATTTTAAAAGAAGGATGGGTCCCTGAGCCAGCTCCTCTGGGCAAAGGGGACTCTTCCAGGGGAGTTGGAGGGGGCAGCTTCAACCAGAACAGAGAAGAATGGAAAAGCTTACAGCCACAGGCAGGGCAGCAGGGTTGCTCCGAAATGCCACTTATCAACCTCTCCGTGCCTCCTGCCTGCACCACATGGGCGGCGGCGCGCGCGCGCGCACACACACACACACACACACACACATACACCAGCTCGTGGGAGGACCAGGTCCACATTCAGGCTAAGAAGGGCCAGAGCAGCTTCCCAGGCTGCGGACGGGACGGTGGGCTCCCAGACTGGCCTCCCCCAGGACTTGGGGCCAGTGCAGTCCTGGAAGCCTTTATCCCGAAGAATCTCTGCCATGATGCCTGCCAGCCCCATAGGCTCATCCATGACGGGCACGCCTGCCCCACGCCCGCTGCCCCACCAGCACCAAGTCAGGTGTCAGGACGGGGCTGAGATAAGGTGGGTGAAGCTCTGGCACAGAGAGAGCCTTCCATAAACGTCTGTCTGTTGTGGTGCAGGCTGTTTCTAGGAAAGCCTGCCTTTTCTTTACATCTCTGGGAAAAAACAGTTTGTATCCTCTTGTTGGATACACATTGGTTAAGCACCTGGCATGTACCAGACATTGTATCAGAAACTGGGCACCCCACAGAAGGACAGACAGAACCTCTGCCCTCATGGAGATTCTCCACCTTGCCTGAATATTAGGTTCACCTGGGAGGGCTCAAAACTCTCAGGGCCCAAGCCGCACGGCACACCGACTTAACCAGAGCCTCTGGTGGGCACAGGGGTGCTGCTTGCAGAGTCTCCTGGGTGATTCCAGTGCAAGGTTGAGGCCCACCTACCTCGTGGGAGAGAAGGAGAGGGAAAGGGGCAATCACATCCCAGGCAACAGGGAACCCCGGCTCCATGACCACGTCACACCCTGCCCAGTCTGGGGGCCATGAAAGGATGCCCGGTGAAAATGCATCCAAGGATACATTTTAATAATAAATTCTAGCACAGTGATACTAGCTTGACAAGACAGGAGAGCAGTAGGCACAGAGATACAGACATCCTACAAATATCATCGTTATTTCCCATGTCCTATTTCATCCATCCACTCACCAGAAATTCCTCTGAAACCCTTGCATTTAGCAGCACTAACGCGCGCGGGACCTGGGAGCGGCGGGGTTTGCCTTACGCGATGCTGGAGCGCCATCTAGTGGCCAGAGCGACATCAGCCTCCCGCTGCCTGCAAGGTGGGTCCCGTCTGGTTGGTGCAAGGGGGTCCCCAGCCCTGAGGACACAGCCTGGCACACCGGGACTCACACCTCACCTGCTCCATCTGTGAGGGAAATAATTGTATGAAAAACTGTCCAACCTCACTACAGTCAGAAACTGCACAACACGCGGCCATAAGCTGCCAGGTTTCACTTATGAAATTGTCTAAGAAAAACAGTGTGAGTGAAAATCAAGGGAGCAGGCTCTCTCGGCAGCTATTATTTTCTTTATTTATCCTTTAGCTTTTCTCGAAGTCCATCACAAGACTGTGGAGTCTGCTTTTGTCTAGAAAGATCACAGGGGAAGTTTCGTATAGAATAAGCGTCAGGAAAGTCTGAATCCTCGGGACACCTGGGCAGTTTCCATCTCCCCGGAACAGAAGCTGGATCCGCCAGGGGCCCAACTCCCTCCAATGAGGACAAGGCCTGCCAAGGAGACCCAGGGCCACCCCAGGCCTGAAGGATGAGGGAGGGTGCAGCGGCCAGACCCTGGCAGGGGAGGCCTCCTTGAGGGGAGCCGTGACCTTGGGTGGAGACATGGCCGTGCTGAGGTGACCTCACCGAGACAGATCCCAGCCAATGCCTGGCCTCCGTGCCCTGTCTGTCCCCTGCCAGGGCTCCTCAGCTGAGCCCCACTGAAGGTCCAGGCCCAGGGACCGGGATGATGTTCCCATGCAGCGTGGACGAGAGCAGAGAGCAAGCCGGGAGGAGCAGGCTGAAGGAGCCCCTAGAAATGCTCGAGCACCATTTTTGGCTGTCATAAGTTCAGAATCAATGGGGAAGGATGCTGTGCATTTGTCCTTCTGCCGATCCTTACAGTCGATATAGCGAAGCCGCCCTTTTCAGATGGATGACAATGTCTTATTATTTAAAATTTCAGATCTGCTTATCAGAGTCCCAGAGGCAAGGAGGAAAACCAACATTAACCCCCCAAAAATAGCCATGTTTGAAAGACCTTCACCTTGCCACTGGGCTTACCTCCCAGAGCGGCCATCTGGGCCTCTGTAAAGGCCACAGTAATGAGGTGAATACATGACGTGTCACCACAGAGAGACGGCCTGTGCCCACTGTAGTCACAGCCTGCCACGTGGGCTCGCCTCCTTATTTACTCACCGTGAGCCCCCCTAGAATACGCGCCATGACAAACCTCACCTTGCAAACTCACCAAAGACCGGATTATAGAAAGCGGTTTAATTTTTGGAGACAAATGTATAAGCGGGACAACTTACACCTCAGGTTAAAAGTCTGAGTCCTCACACTCATTGGGCACAAAAATCACGTGGTCAAATTCACAGGCAGGAGAAGGGAGCCACCCACTGCGCGCTGGCAGACGCCATTCTCCCCTGGGACAACTCACTGTGATCCAGTGAAGATGGACCCAGCCCCACGATCGATCGTCACTCCACTTCTTCCTGGCACTGCCACCTCCATCTGGGCCTGCTCCCTCCTTCCCCACTCCCAGGAGCAAGGGGCGCAGCCCCCGGGCAGCCGCTGCCCAACACCAGGTGTAAGGCAATTGTCCACCCACCACAGTCACCCACCACAGTGATCAAAGTATTTTTCTGATCTGCGTGTCCCCTCCGGCCCATTTCATCCCTCTGCGTCTGGTAGCCAGGCAGCCGAGGGGACAGCAGTCCAGGCAGGGGCAGGTGCACCTGACCCAGGCATCCGGGAATCAGTCAGTGTCTGGGGAGGTGGGGCTGACATCCCCTGGGAGCCATGTGACACCAGATCCTCTCCTGAGTGACTCCTGTCAGCTTCGGGAAGTGGTTATTCTCAGGGACGCCAGCTTCCGCGCACCTCAAGGACTCAGGAACTAGTCCGCATCAATGGTGAATCAAAATTAGTGCCACCGTCCACATGGAGCTGGCAGCGGCTCACGCTGAGGACCAGCTGGGGCCGGACGTGGGGGGCATCCTCCCCACGGCCCTCCTGCAGTGGCTGCTTCTAGTGGGCACAGCACTTGGCCTGCCCCGCAGGCCTCTCATTCAGAGCCAGCCGAGCATCTCTCTGCTGCGTCTGGTCCTTCTTCCTCTCTTCTCTCTGCAGCAGCTCTCGGGCTGTGAACACAGAAGGACCGTTGTTTGGAGTGAAGCCCCCGGACCAGCACACACCCTGCAGGCCAGACAGTCCCAGGGACCGCCCCACCACTGGAAATTTACCCAGTGCCATGAAACATGAGCCCTTGACTGCCCTGTTCACCTTCTAGTCCCTAGAGACATCTTTTTGGGTCCCAGGATGCCAGGAAAGAAGGTCCGATGAAGCAGATCCAGTGATGAGCCCCCACCCCGGCTCTCCTGGGGGGCCCATCACTCACTCACCCACTGCGCTGAAGACCTCGGTCACCTGGTGGTTCAGTCTGGCCGAGGTTTCCATGAACAGCAGCCCCTTGCTCTCTGCAAACTCCTTCCCTTCCTGAGGGAAACAGCCACAAACATCCCACATTATTCACAAAAAGGGTTTCCTAAGGACACTCAGTTGCCTTCTTTTTTGTCTGTTTCTTCTAGTGTCAAGAGCCACGTGTGCCTAGTGTTACCATTTTGTTTGAGGATTTTTGTTTTGTTTCCAGCTTTGTTGCGACATTGTTGACTAGTTGCCTCCCAACAGTAAGGCGCAGGAAACAGTTGCAGCCTGTGGAGAACCTGGGTCCTCGAGTTCTGCTTCTTGGCACCCCAGGACCAGGGAGGGGCGGGCGGGGAGGGAGCACGCTGGCTGGAAGGGGGCCCTTCTTGGAGCTGAGCACCGCGAAGGGGCCTCCTCTCCCAGCAAAGTCGGAGAAGGCCAGTGTCCTCGGCATGGCTGCCCTCCCGCCGTGGCTCTCTGGCACCTGTGGGCTTTGACACTCGGGCAAAGAAACCAGTGAGAGCCAAGGAAACCTGGAGGGGAGGGGCAGAGAGGCCCCGGGAGGAGCCCACCTGGACCCCTCCTCGGGGCCGCCTCGCTTTCCCACACGGGTGAGGCCTGCATGGAGTGACAGCTATCACAGAGCAAGGGCGAGCGTGAAAACACCAGGGCTGCAATTTGTGGTCAAGGGGAGAAGCGGTCACAGGAAAGCCGAGGCGGCACCCAGGACTCAGGGTGAATGAGGGCCTGGGGGCCTCCCAGTGCAGGCTGCTCCCTTGAGCCCCCCTGACTCTCCTAGGAGGAGGAGCGACGCTCAGGTCATCCTGCCTGAGGCATGGCTGTGCCCACAGCATTGACCACAGGTGTGTCCACTCCCCACTCACTCAGCCCACCGGGCTCTACTCCTCCCACTGAGCTTCTCAGCCAGTCCCCCCAGAGGCTCCACACTCCCCTCTCCCCTTGCTCCCAGCAGCCCACTGCCCCTCCCACCCCGCAGTGAGCAACCTGACCTCCCCGGCTTCCTGTGCCTGCAAGTTTACTGCTCCACCGGGCAGCTCTCAGGGGCCATGGCTCCAATGGCCACTTAGTTTGCAAACCCCTATCTCCTCCCACTGGCTACAATTTTCAATGATGGCTCCACCATGAGCGCCTCAGCACCCCTCAAGGATCCAGACTGATGCTGTCTCCATGAATTCCCTTTGCCCTCCCCCCAAATTTGTCTGAACTCCTCATTCCACTTTTCTGTCTTCCAGTTTCCCTCCAAGGAAGCGGGTCTCTCTCTCCCTGGAGGGGCGCCCTCCACCTGGGCCCTCTATCTCTGGAGCAGAGCCCTCCACTTGGGCCCTCTCTGTCCTAGAGGGTCGCCCTCCACCTGGGCCCTCTCTCTCCTGGAGGGGCACCCTCCACCTGGGCCCTCTTAGTCCTGGAGGGGCGCCCTCCACCTGGGCACTCTCTGTCCTGCAGGGGCGCCCTCCACCTGGGCACTCTCTGTCCTGCAGGGGCGCCCTCCACCTGGGCCCTGAGTCAGCTCTTCCTCTTACATCAGCCCCTGATGTGTGCCTGGGATCTCCCCACACTCTTTCTGCAGCTGCTTACGTGGCCCTTGTGCTAAATGTAGCAGGAAGGGAAGATGCTATTGAAGACAGACCAATGACAACTGGGGACACTGCATCTACCTGCAGGGAGGGTGTGACATAACTCAGAGGAGTGAAGGGAAAACCTGCGTGGAGGTCCCTCCTGGTTGCTGAGGGGGAGAGGGAGGCCTGCAGAAGGACTGGACACTTCCAGGGAAAGGCAACCTTCCAAAGAGGTGCAGACCTGGCCTGGAAGGCGCCGAGATCAGCAGGGCATCTTAGGGGGTGGGGTCACAAGGTGGCAGCTTTGGTTGGGAGATGGAGAGCTGAGCTGCTCTGCAGGAGGGAGCCTTAGGGAGAGGGGGTGGGCGGGGAGGGAGGCAGAGAAGGGCAGGCCAGGGAGGATGCTGGCCACCAGAGAGGAGAGAGAACCCAGGGTCTCCAGGGAGGCTGGGGCTCAGGGAGAAAGTGAAGTGGAGAAAGAGGCCAGGGTCTTCACACACAGAGGCGTCTAGTTTTCTGTCTTGTTTGTTGGGCTGGGCTACAATGTCACCCCAGTGCACTCCTCCGTTTAGAAAAAATCTGCTTGGTCCACACAGCCTTTCATTGTTGAGTTGTTGGTGGAATCAACGAGCTAGTGGCCTGTTGGGTTGGCCTAAGGGAGAGAGATGAGAACAGCCACAGAGTTGAGTGGGATGGAGAATTATGCAATGCAGGATATCAGAGAAGGGGGGACTGGAAGATGCAAATACCTGTGAGTCCCTGGGTGAGCCCCTGGGCTTCTCATCCTACACGAGATGAGGACGTTATTATTTGTATTCTAAAGGAAGAAGTGACCTGGTACAGCTGGAAGACTTGGAGACTTCGAGTAGCATATATCTGAGTCACATGAATGAAACCCAAATGTTCCCTTTGCCCAACTAGCTTGGGGATTCCAGGTGGGGTCACCTTAAGGGTTTGTCCTCAGGTCCAGTGGGCCTCTAGTCCCTAAATTGCAGACCCCCAGCCCTCCCCCTGCCAGTTTGTCTCCTTGAGGTCCCCCAGGATAGGGTTCATGTCTCCTTCTGTGGAATCAGCATATCCAGTGCTCAGATCTGGGCTTGTAAATTCATTCTCCAATAACGGGAATCAGGGCTCCTTGTCCAGGGCAGAGGCAGAGAAAGTACAAGATGAGCCTGGAACAACTTGATGAGTCAGAAAGTAAGGAAGAGCTCACAGAATGATGGGGGCGGGTGAAAGGACATAAAAGGACATTGCAGCTGGCTTGAAGAGCTCTCTCAATGGCCAGTGAATGTTCATTTCCTGATTTGATCCTCGTCCTGTGCTTGTATAAGATGCTAACATTTGGGAAAGCTGGGAGAAGGGCATACAGGACTTTTTGTACTATTTTTGCAACATTTTTTGTAATTCTGAAATTATCTTAAAAAGAAAAGCCAAAATATTAATTTAAAAAATGCGCTGCCTGCAGGTCAGCCTTGCCTCTTCCCGAGCCGAGGCCCCCTGTGCGGTTCCCCGGGGCTGGGGTGCTGCTGTCTGTGGCACCCTGTCCCCCTGGCCACTGAGGCCCCGCCGTGCTTAGTGGGAGCTCAGGATAAAAAAGAGGCCAAGGAACTGGCCTGGGGCCCCGGGGGCCCATGGGGTCTACAGCGCAGGCCCCAGGGTGGCCTTCCGTACCGTCTAAACTACAAGGTCTCCCTTCCGCAGGCAGGTCGGGCTCGGCCCACGGCAGGGGTGCTGTGACAGCAGAGACGGAGGGTGCCGCTGCCCGAGGCCCCTCACGCCCCCTGAGCTAGGCTGCCTGCCACCCAGTGGTCTCCTTGCCCAGGACCTGGCCTCCCCAGCTCACCGGGACCTTACCTCCAATGCTCTTTCTAGATCACCCATCAGTTCCATCCCCAGCTCTCAAAACCCTCCAGGCCCTCCAGGGGCCTCCAAAGCCCCCAGTCCTTAACCCCACATGCCAGGATCTTGCTTCTGAGCCCAAAGCTTCTCACACAGCCTTCTCCCTCTCCTGGGGGCTCCTGCCTTCCCTCTGCTCAGGGGACCCTGCCCTGCACCCGCACCCTGCCTATCCCTCTGCCTGCCTGTCATTCTCCTCTACCTTTGTCCCATCCTAAAGCCTTCCTTAAATCCACCCTGCACACACCTGCTACACACACACACACTCACCTACACACCCTCCTAGATACACACACACCTACACACTCCACTTATACACACACAGACACACACCTACATACACACTCTCTGATACACACACTATACACACACACACCTACACACCCTCCTAAACACACGTAAACACCGTCTACACGCACACACTTTCTATACACATAGACACACTCACACCCCACTAGACCCCTGCCCCCACTCTTTGCTCGCACAGCACTGTACGTGCGTCTCTCTGCCACACTTATTCGGCTATTGGTCATTTTACAGAACTACAACCTTTTTCACTTTTTATCCCTTGCTCAGTTCCTAGCAAAGAAATTTGGATTTGTTCATTTGCCCCTTCTTCAATAATTTACTCAACACAAAGAAAAAGATCTGAAAACCCACATTACTCAAAGTGGGATAGAGGGGTCCTGGTTTCCTCATGACCCCAGGGACCTGGCCAGGGGCCCCGGCCCATTCCCAGTGTGATGCCAGGCTGGCCCCTCGGCCCGCTCTCAGGAGGGCTGGCCTGGGGGCTGCTCACAGCTCTCCCCACCCTGGACAGCGACCACCTCTAGGCCTGACCTTTCCAGGAAGGACCTGAAATCTTTGGCCAAAAGGGAAACTAAAGTAGGAAGTGTGTGGGAGTGTTTACGAATGTGTGTGCGTGTGTGGGAGCGTGTGGATGAGTGTGGGGGGGTATGCGTGCACACGTGTGTGGGTGTGTGGCTCTGTGTGTATGTGTATGGGTGGATGTGTGTGTGGTGTGTGTGGGCGGGTGTGTATGGTGGGTGGGTGTGCATGCACACACGTGTGTGGGTGGGTGTGTATGGTGTGTGTGTGCATGCACACATGTGTATGGGTGGGTGTGTATGGTGGGTGTGTGTGGCGTATGCACGCACACATGTGGGGGTGGGGTGTGGTGTGTGTGCATGCACACACGTGTGTGGGTGGGTGGGTGGGGGTGGGCATGTGTGGTGTGTGTGCGTGCACACACGTGTGTGGGCAGATGTGTGGGGGTGTGCATGTGAGTGGGCATGTGTGCTTCCGGGTTGCTCCCTTCTCCTCCCAGGGGACACAATGACTGGCCTCCAGTCCTACCTCGAACATCACCTCCCGCTCCTCGCCGAGGTCCGTCTTGTTTCCAACCAGCATCACCACGACCTCTCCAGGCTGGAACTCCTTCTCCAGGTCCTTCAGCCACTGCTGAGCCATGCAGAAGGAGTCCTAAGAAAGAAGAAAACTCATGGGTGGTCTCATCAGCTCTCCCAGGAAAGAAAAAGCAGGCGTCGAGGCCACACCGTGTAAAGTGTCATATGGTCCCTCGGGCCACACGACAGACCCCCCATGGGCTGCCCTGCTCCCCCGAGGAGGGGTGGTTGCATCTTTTTCTGGCTTCGGGTGGTCTGGGCCACCCAGCAGCTCCTTTCCCACCTGACAGGGCTCAGGAGGCTGGAGGACGCGGGGCGTTCCAGGTCAGACCTCAAGCTCCTGGATGCCCTCAGGGACCACTTCATGCAGGAGAGTTTGGGGGAGTGGCTATCACCCCAAACCCTGATCCTAACTGCAGCACCCTGCAGACCAGGAATCGGGGGCTCCTGCCCCGGCCCCACATGTCCCCTCTCCCCTCCCTATAGCAAAGCTGATCAAGTGGTCTACTTTTAGCCCTGCAGCGGCCCCATCGCACTGTCCCCACCCTCCCTAAGTGCACCACGGAGAACTCTTTCCCTGTCCTGCTCCCCTGCCCACCGCCACTCACTGTCCCCCCACACCCCAAAAGGGCTAATCCCTGCTTTTCCCCCATGTCTCAAAGGGAGACTTCCTGCAGGAAGCGCCTCCCACTCCCTGCACCCCAGGCTGGGTTTGATGCCCTTCCCACCAACTCCCACAGAACCCCACCCTTCCCTTCTCCTGCTCTAAGTATTTAGCAGCTCTGCTCTAAAGTGAGCTCTGCTCACTTGTATTTAGCATCTGCCTGGATGACACTGTGTAGGGACGTGCAGCCAGGGGCTGTGTGTGTCCCATTTCTGTAACACCGTCTCACCAACTCAGCAGCACTCAAGGAATCAAGCAGGTCGCTTGATCAGCTTTGCTGTAGGGAGGGGAGAGGGGCCATGTGGAGCCGGGGCAGGAGCCCCCGATCCCTGGTCTGCAGGGTGCTGCAGTTAGGATCAGGGTTTGTGCGCTCTGTGTGGGATGTTCCAGGAGGACCACAGAGGAGCACAAACCCAACCATGCAGGAGGAGGAGGAGTTGTCAAGGAGGGCTTCCTGGAAGAGGGGACCAACTTGCACTGAAGTGTTCTCTACTGGTTGTCAGGATTTTGCCATTAGCACCAGCACAAGCCAGTCACCTAACGCCTTCAGAAGACAGCAGCCCTGTGCCTGAGAGAGTAGAAGGCAGACGGCTTGCGAGGGAGGGTGAGGACACGCCTGAGGGGAGCCTCACCTTGCTGGTGATGTCATACACCAAAAGTGCAGCGTTGGCGCCCCTGAAGTAGAGGTGGCAGACGCTGTGGTACTTCTCCTGGCCGGCCGTGTCCCAGATCTCAAACTTCAGAGACGCAGCACCAAATTCCACCACCTTTGTGAAGAATGCGCCTGGAACAGAAGCCAGAGGGAGCTTTATCCAGAGGACGATGCCTTTATCCAGCTCTCAGGTTGGGCCAGCGAGAGCCTGGGCTCCGCAAACCGCTCAGAGAGATGGCTAGCCACGTGCTTCCCGTCGCCCGTAGCCGGGGAGGCTGTGCAAACACCTCTGTGGAAGGTGGCGGTTTCCATACACAGCAGTTACAAGTCACCTGCTGCAGACCCTTGGTGGATTCCACAGTGGCTCTGGGTGGGAAGATAAACTCATAGGGCTCTGACTCAAAAACCTCTGGACTAGGTGTGATGCGGGAGGGGTCTCCAATAACCAGGGGTCTGACACGTCCCTGTGGGCTTCCAGTGATGTAGCTGAGCCCTGGGGACCCCTGGAACCCTCCATATCCCTGCCCCACTGCCACTGGGCGGTCAGACCAACCTTGCCAAGGGGTACTCCGGATCACACCAGCTCCTCCTCCAAGTCCTTCCCGGCCTCCTGCTGACCTCTGGCCTCATCCACACCTCTCCCTGCCGACCTCCCTTCTCCACTGTCCCCTCTGCTTGGAATCCTCCCTCCTCCCCACCTACCTGTCCACCGAGATCTTCCAGCATCTCCACAGCAGCTGTGCCCCGACCCAGGAGCTCCCTGTGCTCCTCACACACCCAACGGCACAGGTGGACTTCTGTGTTCTCACCTCTCGCCCCTGAGGACTTTTATTCCTTCACATCCCTGCTTAATAATTACACACAACACAAGATCTACCCCCAATCCCTTTCATTGGACATACTGGGCAATCCACCTTTGGTTGGAGACTTTTTAACCCCTGAGCTTTGCTTTCCAAAGTGATGTGATTTTAAAATAACTGTTTAGTAGCACTAAGATGTTCTGCCCCCATAGTGTGTGGGGTGTGTCATATACAGAACTAGACCTGGACCAGGAAGGGGCCAGGGAGGCCGGGTGTCCAGAGCAGGGAGGAGCCGGCAGAACAGGGGCTCCAGTCAAAGCTGCTGCCTTCCCAGACCCCACATTGAGTTTGGAGCCTGTTGGGGAGATGCTGGCAAACACAGCCACGTGTTTGAAATTAAACTTTCACTGCAAGGCCGGTGTGTTAGTTTCCTGGGGCTGCCGTAATAAATTACCGCAAACTGGATGGCTTAAAACAACAGAAATTGACTCTCTCAGTTCTGAAGGCCAGAGATCCAAAATCAAGGTGCCACTAGGGTTGGCTCCTTCTGGAAGTTTTGAGAGAGAATCCTTCCCATGCCTCTCTCTCGGCTTCTGGTGGTTGCCAGCACCCACTCCTGTTCCCGGGCTTGTAGACATATCACCCCCATCTCTGCCTCTGTCTTCACATGGCCTCCTCTGTATCGCTGCGTTTCTCCTCTTCTTATAAGGACACACCAGTGGTTGGATTCGGGGCCCACCCGAAATCCAGAATGATCTCATCTCAATATCCTTAACTAATTACAGCTGCAAAGACCCTCTGTCCAAATAAGGCCACATTCACAGGCACTGTGTTAGGATGTGGATGTATCTTTCAGGGGACACAATTCAACCCGCTACAGACAGAGAACAAGGGAGGAGGCTGGGCTGAGATTTTTAGCACAGAGCAGGTAAGACCGTGATTCTCTGTCATGAGAATCTAGTGTTCAGTGGCTCCTAAAGAGAAGCCACTGACCGTGGTCCTCCACCTGCACATCCTGCATTTTCCTGCATGTCCATGAACTTGAAGTCAGGTAAACTTCCTAGATGTTATGGACTGAATATTCATGTCCCCCATCAAATTCATATGATGAGGCCCTAACCCCCAAAGTGGTGGTATTAGGAGGTCGGGCCTTTGGGAGGTGATTAGGGTTAGATGATGTCCTAAGGGTGGGGCCCTCATGATGGGATTAGTGCCCTTATGAGAAAAGACACAGAATTCCTCTCCCTTTCTTTCTATTTCTTTCTCTCTCTCTATCTCCTCCTTCCCCGACGCTGTGCAGGCACAAAGAAGAGGCCATGTGAGTACACAACCAGGTGGTGGCTAGCCACAAACCAAGAGAAGAGGCCTCAGAATGAAACCTACCTTGCCAACATCTTGCTTTTGGACTCCCAGCCTCAGAACTGTGAGAATAAGTCTCTGTTATTGAAGGCGGCCAGTCTGGTATTTTGTTATGGCAGCCCCAACAGACTCTGACACTCGGTCACATGAAGCTGCAGTCTTTATCTCAACAGTAGGACTAATGGCTCCCAGCTCACACAAGGCCACTGTCAGGATGGGACAGGACATAAGTCACTTCACGCAGCAGCTGTTCCATCAGGACTGACAACGATGTGAGGGTGAGGGCCGTGCAGGGGCCTCGGACAGAGGTCAGTCAGCTGCATGAATTGTCAACTTTCTTAAACCTTCTAAATCTCAGTTTCCTCCTCTTTACCATGAGCCAATGGTGCCCTCTTCCCAGGTTGGTTGTCAAACCCAGGAGAAAAGAGGAAGCGCAGAGTCTGGGACATGAGGCTCCCCTCCCCCTGCAGCCCTCTCTGCTTTCCCGACTCACTGTCCAGGAACACCGCCCTTTTTGCCACATCCTCCATCTGTCCTCAAGCGTGTCGAATCACATTTCTGAATTTGATTTTGGTCATATCCTAGAAGTCGTCACTGCCAGGTTACGGGCATAAAACTCAGATTTGCCTCCTCCATTTAGCTATCTTAGCTTCTGATATTTTCCTTTTCCACTTTGAAAATGATGGCCAGTGGTTGACTTTAAATCATTGTAAAAATCCCAACAAGTTTGCAGGAAGGGCAGGGTTGTCAGTGCAAGCAATGATGAGGCACGAGTGACTGGATATTTACAGAACCAGAACGTTGTCATCCCTGGAGAGAGACATAAGGCCCTCAGATGGCCCTGGGCTGGTCTCCAAAGCAACCTTCCACCCCCGGCCCCGTGGACTCCTTGGCTCCAACCCGGAAAAGAGCCCACGTCCATCATCTTCCTTGTGCAGGACCCACGGACCACAGGTCTACTTCTTCACAGCTAAAGCCAAAAAAGGATCGAAAAATAGACTTCCAAGAAATCCAGACGGACTTGGAGATTTTGCCTGAAATGCTATTGGCAACAAGGTGGGTGTGAGGGCAGTATTGGGCCAAGAACTAGGAATCTTTCACGTTTCTAGAACACGCTGGTGGAGATAACACATTGGCACATTTTTATCAGACTATAATCTGACCTGGGGCCACCTGGCACCCTGTTTTACATGGTGGCTGCCATCGCGGCACAATCTGGGTCTCTTTCCTCCTCTGCACTCACCGCAGACCTCAACACAGCTGCCCAGCGACAGGGTGCACTTTCAACCCCCGCCCCCCAGCCTCTGAAATGCAGAGAGCTCAGCTCCGTTCTCTCTCTCTAGGGGCTTCTGGACGCAGGAGTGCGTTCGCCTGGAGAGCTGAATAAACCCCGATAGGCAGTGAATGACTTAAGAATTAACTGGGACTGCTCTCCAACTTGTATTTTATCGCCCCAAGTTAAAAGGTGTCTCTACTCACTGTTAACGTAATAAAAGTGGTTTTGCTCTTTTACCTTTTAATTTAAATAAACTGCTGATTCTGCTCATTTAAGCCCTCTTTGTAGGATTCGTCTTTTTGGTAAAAGTTATAAGCCGATTACTGGTTGAAGGGAACGTGAAATGGATAACTCCTTTTCGGGGGTGCCAGGGCTTCAGCAAAGTTTAGTTTCAAAGGGAAGTGGGATGTGGCAAAGCTGACTGTCAGTGCCTTGTCCTTCCCACACCAGGCCCAGTGGGTCCGGGATTCATTTTGGCTTCTGCTAGCACATACGCGTGAGAGCACTAGATGTCACTGTCCCTCCAAAAGATGTCACCAAGGAAGTGCAGTGCAGGGAAATGGACCAAAAGTCCCCCTCTGTGGCTAGTTGGTATTCCAGGATGAGGGGTCTATGAGAGCTCAGTGGGGTCTTCGGGAGCTGTTGGTGGTCCAAGACCCTGGCCACAGTGGTCACTCTTTGGAACTGCCCATCTCCCCGGCCAGGCCCTCTCCTGCAGCAGGCCTGGAAGCCTTCATGGTGGCTGGGGGTGGCCAGAGTTCCGGGGTTTTTCTGGTCTCCTCCCAGCAGGACAAGCCCCTGGGAGGCTGTGCTTGCTTGGGATCCCCGCTCTGGCTCTGCTTCAAGTACCTGAGTGTGTCTGTCACACTTAGGGCTCCGGCCCTGGCTTCCTCCGAATGGACGGGGTCTTGCCCCAGGAACGGCTGGACTGCTGTCCTGGCCCGTGCGCCATTCTGGAGATCTGTGCCCAGTGCTTATGTAACTCTCCACTGTGGGGCCACCATACACACTCACCAACAGCTCCAGACCCTCTGGAGGGGGCCCAGGGACCCCCAAGCCTCCTGAAGGCTGGAGTTTCTTGAAGCTGGCCTGCCCTGAGGTGACACCAAGGTGGACATGCGAGGCCGCGTCCCACCCCGGCTCTCAGGAGTGCAGGGTGGGTGTCTGCGGACAGGGGGCAGCACGTAAGGACGGTGAGGACCTTAAGTCGTCACACAGTAATCCACCACTCAAGACAACCTCAAGTCAGCCTTTAAGGAGGGCCCACCACAGGAAGGCGGTTCCTTCCCATTTCACAGATAAAAACGTCGACACGAGAGAACAAGCCACTTGCCCGCTGCATCCATTCTCCATTGTTAGCTCATATTTACTGAGTTTCCTGCAGGCCAAGGGCTGGCACACGGCCTCCTTTGTTTCCCAGCTCCCCCACGAGGAGGAGGTGCGCCCTCACCCCCGCGCCGGGGCCTTGCTCCTCGGCTCACCCCCTCCAGGAACGGAGCACGTTCTCTTGATAAAGCCAAGGGCGTGCATGAAACAAAGAAACAGAAGCGTCTGCCTTCAGAAGGTTTTTGTACGACACAGACTACTTCCACAGAAATTAAAGGGATGATCATATTCCATTTCCTCATCTGAAAAGTGGAAATATCCACTTTTATAATAATATAATAAGTATAATAGTATAATAATTAATAAAATAACATATAATACTAATAAATATCATACTGTAATAAGTAAAATACGTAATGTCATTTTATTTATTTATTTTTATAATAATGTGATAATGATAATAGTATCCACTCCACAGGTCACAATCATGTCACAAGGTATGTAAGTCGTGTGACATAGACCATGAGATGTAAGCAGAGGAGGCCATCACCCCCCTCAGGGGATTTAGCTCCTAAAAGCAGAGGGGGGCTTGCTCCCCTCTGGGTCCCCAACACCCAGCACAACTGCCAGCACGTGGCAGGTGCTCAGTAAGCCAGAGCTGGCCCCCTGGGCTGCGGCTGATCAACAAAGAAGGATTGCTGCCCGCTAGAGGGCTGGGGGCCACGTCTAATCTATTCGGGCTGTTCTCTGCCTCCGCACCCTCCGCCCCTACCATCCCAGCATCACCCGTCACCCGTCACCCGAGCGAGTGGGGACAGAGGCACCAGCCCCAGGGCAGAGGCAGAGCCAGCCTGTGGAACAGGTTCTCCCTTTGGAGAGAGGACAAGCCTAGGCCTGGGGGAGGGGTCCGGGAGGGGGAGGGGCAGCTAAGCTGCCAGGGCAGAGGACAGGAGTGGAGAGGGCACACCCAGGCCTGCTCCCCCAGCAAAGACCCCCGCCTGACTTGGGCCCAGGTCTGTCCACTCTCCTGACTGTCAGTCCCCCTGAAGAGAAGGAGGGCAACTTGGATAGCCTGGGGAGGAGATGCTTGGCCCCTGACTTGCAGGAGCTGAAGGAACCCAGGGGGTTTCTGTGGGCAGGGGTGGCTGGGCCTCAGCCCCACTGTCCTTGAGCTGCAGCGGGCTGGGGAGAGCTAAGCCCCCAGGCTTCTTGCCTGGGAAAGTTAGTGAACTTGTCTGAGGTCCCCTCTCCCTCCCCTGTGAATACAGAATGCCAGCTCTATCCCCAGGCTCAGCATGGCTCTGTGGTGTGGGCCCCTTCTCACCCTCAAGATGGGCCCAGCACATGCGGATCCAGCTGAGCTAAGTTCTCTCTTGTGGGAGATCAAGATTTGGCCACCCTGAAATATATCTCTTTACCTTGATTGTTTTCTCTGAGGGACATTTGACCTCCCCCACTAACTGCCTAAAGAATTTGACATGGTGGCTCCTTCCTGGAACAGATCTTCTATCTGATGGCTGTAAAATAGATGTTACAATAGGAAAGGCACCAACAAGCCCATCTTATCAGAAATTCTGTCTCTCTGGCCACATTCTCTGGACATTCTCTGGAGTTGCCAGACATTTACATTTATAAGGGAAATCTCCATTTGTAAAGATATCTCCCTCTCTGTCTTGGGAAGAAGGGGCATGACTTCATTTCTAGAAACTTATCAACGTGGAAGGTGAGGCCTTAAATCTGCATAATAACCTTACCCTTGTTTACAGTGCTTTAGTGGTAATCTCCTGTAACTGACACCCCCGACCCCCAACATCCTCCTTTGTCTTTAGATGAAGATGGTATTTAAGAAGAGAATTTCTGCTATTGTGTTGAGAAACACAGTGTCCTTGGTTTCTCCCATGTATACATGTTATTAAACTTGGTATTATTTTCTCCTGCTAACCTGTCTTGTTAATTATTTGGCCAGCCATAAGAACCTTAAGGGAAAGGGCAGAGGGAGATTCTCCCCCTTCCCCCACACTCTCAAGCCAGTCCCCACACCACCCTCTCCAGCCTCTCCACTCCTGGGAGCCCATCCGGTGACCACCCACCACCTCTTAGGGTATCATCTCTCTCTTGCAGACTCTATGAGAGCAGGGGTCCCTAACTTTTTTAGTAAAGGGCCCTACAGTAAATATATTAGTCTTCAAGGGACATAGGCCACTGTGGCAACTACTGCCAGAGAGAAAGCAGCCGCTGAGGATACATAAATGATGGGCATGGCTGTGTTCCCACTAAACAGGCAAAAACAGGGGGGGCCCTGTGAGCCACAGCTTGTCCTCCTGTGTCTTATCATAAGAGCCAGCCCTGGCCGAGGTACCTGCTGTCTCTCTGTCATCTTGAATCCCAGTCACCCAGGTTCCCAGCTCTCAATCTCCCAGCTTGGCCAGGCCCCCTTCTGTGGTCTCTACTCTCTACTGAAGCCCCTTGCGGCCAGACTCAGCACTTTGTTGTGTGCGTTTTTTAAGCCCAGTCCAATATCATGGGTGAGTGGTGTTGATTTTCCTGCTGATGGAGAGGGCTGCACTGTGTGCCCCTCAGCAGACCTGAATGCTCCGTCTTCACTAGCTCTCCCCAAGTTCCCGTCCTGGAGCCAGCCCCTCATCCCTCCTTCTGCCTCTCCCACCATGAGCTCTGGGGGCCTGACCCTGGCAGATCCTCCCAGCCCCCTGTATCCCTTGGGACTCTTAGGAACCTTCTTCCTGAGAAAATTGAAAGATCCCAAGTAGAATTTTGTGTTGTGCTTCTATGTCTGATGTGTCTGTTTAGCTTGTTCTAGAATCCTCCATACCTAATGCAGGCCTGAGACAGAGGTCACGTCCAACAGATACTTGCTAAATTAGTAAATGAATGAGTGAATGAATGAGTAAATAAATGAATGAGTGAACAAGTGAATGAATGAATGAATGAATGAGACAGTAAATGAATGAATGAGTGAGTGAATGAATGATTGGGTGGACTCAGAGAAACAGATGGTTTATCCGTGGCAGAGTCCAAATTTGAAACAGAAGCTCTGATTCTAAGTGAGGTGGGTTTCCACCACACCCGCTGCCTCCCAGGAGGATTGACATGAAGAACGTCTTAGGTTTCTCTATTTTAGGTGGAAATGGGGTTTTCACCCCCAGACAGGATGTGAAGGAGGCTGACAGCCCAGTAGATGCTCCAAAGACCTCTGAGAGCCGTTAACGTGTTAGCCTCTTACAGAAGTGCAATGAAAGGGTCTGCCCTCCCTGCCGCTCCTTCCTCTGCTCCCCCACCCCCAAGCCCCACCAGGCTGGTAAACCAAGTCCAGGCAGAAAGGGAGCTGCTCTTAGGTAAACAATCCAGGAAAGTGGTGTCAGCAGGAGGGTGACCAGGCAGGGTGAGACGCCTTCGTGTGTAGGCAGCTGAGTGGCAGAGCCTGGAGGCCTTAGGGGCTCCCCCAGCCACAGGCACAACCCTTCAGGGGGCCAGCGACTCTGACTCTGAATCAGCACCCCGCAGCCTTTGGCTGAGCTGAAACCTGACTGTTCTGGATTCCGCGTGTGTGCCTGATGGAGAGGGACCTCATCCCCTCACTGCCCGTGCTGGGCACGGCCCAAGGCTCCAGAGCTGGGAAATTCCTAGGCGGCCCTCTCCCCATGTGCCCCACACAAGGGTCAGCCGCCCTGGCTTCTCTGCTAAGAGACTAACAAAGGGCACTCTGTCCCCACACTTACATCCCACTGTAGGCAGAGTACTCTTGAAGTCATTCTTCACGTACCGGAGAGCCAAGCTGGACTTGCCCACAGAGCTACTTCCCAGGAGGACCAGCTTGAACACGCAGGGCTGGCCTGGAGTAGCCCTGGGGTGGGGAGCCGCAGCCGCCTGTGCCATGCTCTGCAAAGAGACAGCGTTTGAAGGAGTTTGAATGTCTGATGCCAAATAATCTTGGCAAGTTCACCCCCTGGAACACGTGGGGGAAGAGGGAGAATCCCCCTCTGCCCTTTCCCTTAAGGTTTTTATGGCTGGCCAAATAATCAACAAGATAGGTTAGCAGGAGAAAATAATACCAAGTTTAATAACATGTATACATGGCAGAAACCAGGGACACTGCGTTTCTCAACAGGATAGAAGAAATTCTCATCTTAAATACCATATTCAGCTAAAGACAAAGGAGGATGTTGGGGGTGAGGGGAGTCAGTTACAGGAGATTACCACTAAAGCACAGTAAACAGGAGTAAGGTTATTAGGCAGATTTAAGGCCTCACTTTCCACATTGATAAGTTTCTAGAAATGAGGTCATCCCCCCTCTTCCCAATACAGAGAGGGAGATACCTTTACAAATGGAGATTTCCCTTATAAATGTAAAAGTTTGGCCACTCCTCGCAGGGCCATCCAGAGAATGTGGCCAGAGAGACAGAACTTCCGATAAGATGGGCTTGTTGGTGCCTTTTCTGTTGTAACATCTATTTTACATTACATTACAGCCATCAGATAGAAGATCTGTTCCAGGAAGGAGTTACTATGTCAAATTCTTTAGGCAGTTAGTGGGGGAGGTCAAATGTCTGTCAGAGAAAACAATCAAGGTAAAGAGATATATTTCAGGGTGGCCAAATCTTGATCTCCCACAGACGCTTCCCTGGTGGAACACTGGACGGCCTTGAACAGAACAGAACGCCAAGTCAGAAATGCCTGGGTTGACACCCCCACTCCACTCTGCACCTCATCTCCCCATCTGTAAAGCGGGGTGAACAAAAGCTGTGTCGTAGGTCTGTCGTGAGGAACCATGTTGTGAGGACCCAGACTTGGAAAGTGTGTCGATGGTGCCCAGCAGAGGCCACAGCATAATTAACGCTGCACACCCTGACAAATAATGGTCGTGTGCTGGTTATCATATTGGCTTATTGTCCTCATTCCATTAATTCTCACTTTTTAAAAATCTATTACTTATTCCAAAAAGTATCTGAAGCAGCTGGGAGATAAAGTGCTCTCTCAGTTTTTGGTCCACGGATTAAAGTTGGTGTTCCAAAAACATCTACCTAAAAAAATAGTTGATGTTTCAAGGATCTCCAAACACTTTGGCCCTTCCCACTGCATCTAAAGCCTCAGAACCCGCAGTGATGAGTCCCGGAGAAAAGCAGCCCCGTGATCAAAATAAATTTGGGCAAACCCTGCATATTCTTTCGTTATAGAAAACCTCAGGCACGTCCCACAATAGAGAGAATGGAGGTCCTTCTGATGGACCTCACGCGTCCATCATCCACGTCCCCAACAACCAGCTGTGGCCAATCTTGTTTCACCCGCATCCCCAAACCGCCCCACCACCCCCACCAACAAAGAGCAGTTTGAAGCAAATCCCACACATCCTGTTACTTCATCTGCAAATCCCAGTATATATATGTACATTCTTTTTTTCTTTGCAATCTATTTGTTGAAGAAGTCAGATTGTCCTGTAGTTCTCCAGGCTGGATTTAGCTGATTGCATCCGTACATTGTCACTGAATGTGTTCCCGTGAACCTTGTATTTTCTATGGCCTGGTGGCTCAGAACAGAAATCTGATCAGATACAGGCTCTCTTTAGGCAAGAATGCTTCATGAATGTGGTGTGCATTTCCTCAGGAGGTAAATAATGTCCAGGGTCTCTTTGTGATGTTAGCAGTCATTGAAGACCATTACTTGATCCACTATGTCATTAGGTGGCTGCAAAATGGTGACATTCTAATGTTATCATTTTGTCTTCGTTTATTATCTAGACTACTTCTAGGAAGAGTACCTTCCCCTAAAAATATCCAAATCCACCATGGAGGCAGCTCATCCTGCGAACAGAGTCTCCTCTCCCTCCTCAAGAGGGCAGACTCCCAAGGGTCGGGTGGGAATGGAGGAAGGAAAGGGATTTTGAAGAGGAAAGGAAAAAAGTGAGAGCTTTAAGAAGCAGACCACGTTCCCTTGCTGCCCCCAACGGGCAGCGCAGCCACAGTTGGCTTGGGTCCGCCCTTCGGGGACAAGAGGAAAAGAAGCGAGTTTGGGATGGAAGTTTCAAAACAAACAGGACTGAGTCCTAAATACCGTTGAGGCTGTTCTAAACAGAAAGTGGCTGGAGATTTACGAGGTCTGGCAGAGACGGGCTCCTGGGCTCGTCTACTGGGGAAGGGGGTGCAGCTCAGCAGAGCCGGTCGTTCTTGGAAAGCACGTCTGGAACCCCATCTTATATGGGAGACTCGAGTTTCACCACTAATTATGATGCTTAACGGTGTCAAGGGATGATGTTTCAGAGGAGTAGAAAGATAAAGTGTTTTAAATTTTCCACCTGTGTTTTTTAAAGCTCCCAGGTGATCCCAGGATCTATTGAGGCTGAGAACCAAATGCAGCTATGATTTTATCAGTTTTCTTCAGGGCTGGGAACAGTGCCTCTCACATAGCAGGTACTCAATAAACACCTGAGGAATGAATGAATGAATGAATGAATGAATGAAGTGAAACACAGGGTACTGGAGAAACACACAGGAAGGGCCAATGACCCATCAAAAATCAGTGTTTTAAAATATTTGCCCAAACTGAGGACAGTTTCTTGGGGCCTGAGGCAGGACGTGAGTGACTTGGAAGGGAGCAGGTCTCCCTGAGAGTTAGCCAGGGCGGGTTGCGGGGGGCTCTAGGAGCAATGTGCTCCAGACAGCAGCCCAGGCCTGCCAAATCCACAGACCTGGCACCCCAGTGAGGGTCCTGGAGGGGCCATTCTCCTCTCTAAGAATCCATCCACCCATGCAAGAGCTCAAAGTAATTCCTTGTACAGATTTCTGACCCACTGCTAGAAAACTGAACTTGAAGGCAAAGTAAAATAAACAACATGAACAAATGGAAAAGCACAGGGAAAGTCAGCTGGCCCTCCAGGGTTACAATTTACCGCCTGGTGAGTCAACTCTGCCAGCCAACCACCAAATCACCAGAATTCTGAACAAAGTCGAGGAAAAGTAACAAAAAGATGTCGTCTCAAAGTTTGGATATTGCCAGAGACGACCCATCAACTCCACCATCAAATAAACCTCGGACTTTGCCTTCAGGTGAAGCTGTGAGATCTGCTCGCTTCTCTCTGTTCAAGTTGATGCAAGCTCTCTCCTGCTGCAGCCGCCTATCTGGTCCCACAGCTGCTACCCATGCCCCTGATCATGTGTCCAGTCCCCATAAATAGCAGTTGATAAAATAAACAAAAGTCTCTGCCATCCTGGGGCCCACAGTTCCCTTTTCCCCTTCTTGATTGAAATTATCTCACTTGTTAACTCCACCTTAACTCGTAGAATTATTTTTTAATGACATCTCTCTCGCTGGGCTATAACCTCTAATGAGATATAATTTATATAATTAATTTATTAATGTCTTATTTGCTGGGCTGTAACCTCTCACCAGAGCAAGGAGTGTATTCATTGAGCATACAGTAGGTGCTCAATCAATACCTCATGAACGCACGCAGGAATAGCTTAGCAGGAAGCCATAATTGGGCGGACATGCTATTTCCACCACGTGGTTTGCACAGCCAGTCAAACCTCAGGCAGCGTGTCAAGCAGTGAACTGGAGCAACCGCGAAAAGAAAGAGGGGCCTCCAGCAGGCACTGAGAGCAGCTTCGATCTGGCAGCTCAGCCCTGAGTGGCCAAGAAGAGCTGAAAGTCATGCTCCTTAAGGCCACCCTGCACGGGTACCCAGATGAGGCTGCAGGGGTGGGGCTGACCAAGTCTAACGGGCCGGCCACCTCCACAGAGGAGCAGGGTGGGCATGCTCCCGGACCCCTGCACGCTCAGGCTGCACAGAGCCTTCTATTGAAGCTGAGCAAGGAGCCTTCGGGGGTCCTGGTGTTCTCCCATCTTACAGAGAGAACCAGCGTCTTTTCTAAAACAAAGATGCAGAATTCTAAGCCAGAGCAGGCTGGCTTCATGTTCACGCCGGATCCACTGGGCACAAGCACGATTTCAGCCGCTTGCAGAGACCGGCATGACGTGCTTCCCACGTTACCAACAGCAGTACAATGAGCCTGCCCAGGGGAGCCGCCGGCCTGGACTCATTGGCCAAAAGAACATAAGCTCAACTTATAAAGCACTTTTTTTTTTTGACGAACTCAGAGGAACAGAGAGTAGAGTGGTGCTTACCATGGTCTGGAGGGTGGAGAAAATGGGGAGATATTGGTCAAAGGCTACAAACTACCAGTGATAACAGATCAGCGAGTTCTGGAGATTTAATGTACAGCACCGTGATTATAGCTAATAATACTGTATTATATACCTGAAAGTTGCTGAGATTATATCTCAAATGTTCTCACCACAAAAAAGAAATGGTAATTACGTGATGGGATGGAGGTGTTAGCTAACACTCTGGTGATAATCATTTTGCAACATATAAATGTATCAAATCAACATGTAATACGCTTTAAACTTACACAATGCTATACGCAAATTATATCTCAGTAAAGCTGGGAAAAAGGAACACTTTTAAGAATGGAATTTCCGAGCTTTCTGTGCCACCCCAGGCTAATACCTTGTTTCTTGCTGTAAGTACTGAAGGCACCTGCTTAGAAGAAGTATTCCATTGATTTGTACTGTAATTTTACATAGGGAGAGAGTTCTAACACAACCACAGCAATGCATTCTCAAGTATTTAAAGATATCCCTTCAAGTTTTCTTTGCTATTTATTTGCATGGATTAATAAAACTCTTCTTAAGTCAAGAAAATCTTTAGCCCAAAATATGTCTGAATTAACCAAAATAGGTGGAATACGAATAAATGTGCCATTACTAGGATACCACATACCAGCATCTTATTCCTTTGGCAATGATACATCTCTTTGTTTAAAAATATTATTTCACTGGTGTTGGGAAAACTGGATAGCCACATGCAAAAAAATGAAAGTAGACCCTTACCTTACACCATACACAAAAATTAACTCCAAATGGATTAAAGACTTGAATGTAAGACCTGAAACTATGAAACTTCTAGAAGAAAACATAGGCAGTACGCTCTTCGACATCGGTCTTAGCAACATCTTTTCAAACACCACATCTGACCGGGCAAGAGAAACAATAGAAAAAATAAACAAATGGGACTACATCAAACTAAAAAGCTTCTGCACAGCAAAGGAAACCATCAACAAAACGAAAAGACAACCTAACAATTGGGAGAAGATATTTGCAAACCATACATCTGATAAGGGCTTAATCTCCAAAATATATAAAGAACTCATGCATCTCAACAACAACAAAACTAACAACCCAATTAAAAAATGGGCAAAAGACCTGAACAGACATTTCTCCAAAGAAGATATACAGATGGCCAACAGACACATGAAAAGATGTTCAAAATCACTAACTATCAGGGAAATGCAAATCAAAACTACAACGAGATATCACCTCACGCCCGTCAGAATGGCTATAATTAACAAGACAGGAAACAATATGTGTTGGAGAGGATGTGGAGAGAAGGGAATTCTCATACACTGCTGGTGGGAGTGCAAACTGGTGCAGCCACTATGGAAAACAGTATGGAGATTCCTCAAAAAAGCAAGGATAGAACTACCATATGATCCAGCGATTCCACTGTTGGGTATTTATCCAAAGAACTTGAAAACACCAATTTGCAAAGGTACATGCACCCCTGTGTTCATTGCAGCGTTATTCACAATAGCCAAGACTTGGAAGCAACCTAAGTGCCCATCAAGGGATGAATGGATAAAGAAGATGTGGTATATATACACAATGGAATACTACTCAGCCATAAGAAACGATGAAATCCAGGCATTTGTTACAACATGGATGGACATTGAGGGTATAATGCAAAGTGAAATAAGTCAGAGGGAGAAGGTCAAATACCGTATGATTTCCTTCATTAAGTAGTAGATAATAACAACAATAAACAAACACATAGGGACAGAGATTGGATTGGTGGTTACCAGAGGGGAAGGGGGGAGGGAGGAGGGTGAAAGGGATAATTCGGTACATATGTGTGGTGATGGGTTGTAATTAGTATTTTGGTGGTGAACATGATGTAATCTATGCAGAAATAGAAGTACAATGATGTACACCTGAAATTTTTACAATGTTATAAACCAATGTTACTGCAATAAACAAAAAATTAAAAAAATAAATAAAAATAAAAATATTATTTCACTATAAGTGTAAACACATAATTGTCAATATGAAAAAACTTAATTCATAATCTCACACCCTTAATACAACCAAGAATGGTATTTTGCCTACTTTCTTCTAGTTTTTTCCTATGAATCTTAAAAACAAACTGTAGTTTTAACATAAAATTATGTATTCTATCTTTAAAAAAAGTCCTAACATATACCAGAGGCAGTTCTCCACATTGCTATATATGCTATATATGCATTCAACATATATATGTTTAATAGCCATGTAACATTCCTCCAACTCTTCTAATTTGCTGAACCATTTCCCGGTTACTGGATTTTTACTTGGTTTTCATCTTTTTCTGTCTAATAAATCAGACTGCTGTAAGCATTTTCACGTGTAAGTTCTTGTGTGATTACATGTTGTAAGCTTTTGATAATCAGAGATTAGAGCCCTCTCTTCAGAGAGAAAATTGAAAGTGTGACATCTGACCCCGCCCCCAGACTTCAATCAGGATGGGGTCATTTGAAGTCTTTCTAAATACAAAGATGTTCTCAGGAATGCAATATTCGTGATTAAGGTTAATAGAGACACTCCTTCCACACATCTTGATTTGGGGCTTTTCCATTTCTTACAAGCTCATCTCCCTTCCACCAAAGGAAAAAAGAAAGGATTGCAAACCCAAACTAGTCTTTTTTTGCGGGAGTGGTGGGGGGTGGTGTGAAATTCCAGAGGAGGGTCTGGTTTGCTGAGTCTACTGTCCAGATGTCCCTCGCGGTCCCCCTTGCCCGGGCGTAGAGAGCACCGAGACTGCTGTGTGGCTATTTGTTCCCGCGTCGATCTGTAGGAACTGCGCATCTTGATCCATTTGAAATGGATTCCTCAAAGGGCTCCTCTTCGTTACCAGCAGTTTTATGTTTAAGGCCTTTAACTGGAATTTTCCTGAAGGCCACTGTTTAAATAGGAATCTCCTTCCAGGAACCTAACCCAGCAAGCCACAGGGACCCAAACTTGGGGCACCCCAGGCCCCAAGTAGAAAAAGCTCCTTGCCGCTGGCTGTGCCCATTTGATTCTGCACATGAGGGTGCACACACGGACACTCATGCAAATACATACGGACACACGCAGAGACACACAGACACAAACAGACAAAGACACACACACACACTCAGCAAAGTGCACGGAAGTTTAAACAATGACTCACGTGTTCCCCAGGCCTGCTCACTTCCCGGGAGCCTGACAGCTCATCATCACTGGGTCCTGCAGGGCTGCTACCTGTCCCCCTTTCTCCTTCCTCTGGCCTGGGGAAAAGTTTGCTTCCCTCAACAGATGGGCGGTGGCTGCAACAGTGGGGACAGGCAGAGGCTCTGCTCCAATAGAAAACAGGTAAGAGGCAGCAACCTCTGGCCAAGGCGTGCCTAGCCCCCCCACCCCACCCCCGCCCCAGGGTCAGGCCTCTTCTTCCCACCAGGCTCCCAGGGCAAGGTCCACGGTGGTCATGTGGTCCCCTGGGGCAGGGCAGGCAGGAGGCTGGACTGTGAGGCAGCGCAGGAGCACCTGCGCCCCAGCCGGAAGTACACTGCGGTCCAGTGGTAGCTGTCACCCAACTCCCGCCGAGTTTCTCAGCCTTGTCACAGGTCTCATTTTCCCTCGCTCCTTCGTATGGCTCTTGGCTGCATTTGAAACCAGCAGCCCAGAAGAGAAGGAAATATTTTGGCCAAATGAATGCATTCCTTCCACAGGCAGCTGGAAGCCAGCTCTTGCGGGGCCCTGCACCTGTACCAGGGGCAAGCCAGGGGGGCTGGTCCAGGGTCAGATGACCAGATCCTGGCTGGATGCCACCTGGAGGCGGGGGGCTATGTTTCTCCAATGCCCTTTCCCAGCTTTGTCACCCTCCAACCCGACTGTGTGCCTTGGTGGATGTGGGAGGGTCCGGGTGCAGGACAGAGGGAGAGGGACTTCCTCCTGGTCTCCCTAATTCTTCATGCAACTCTAGCTGTGGAATTTCCTGGCTCAGTGGTGATGGAATAGCCTCTTCAAGATAAGATTTTTGGAGTCTCTGAGCATAGCTGGGGTGGGGGGTTCGCTGGAAGGTAGAAATTTGTTGGCCATGAATGTCGGTCCACAGAGTCAGTGTACAAGCAGCTGGCTTTCTTTATGTTCCCATAACTCACCTCAATTTCAGTGTGGGCTCCCGTCCCACCAGGCAGCTGGGAGTCACGCTCAGTCATCGCCGTGGTTCCCACACCCTGTGGGGTACTAGGGTCTTATGTTGGAGGGGACATCTGTGCTAGGTCCCTACTGGGCTCTTCAGTGTGGGGTCTTCTGGATACACCAAAGGGGAAGCTCGAAACCCCTAGAAGAGTCACTCACGCCAGTCCCATACATCCCCTCCCCGCACTGCCATGAGGTCATGAGCCACACTCCCCACCCACGTCACCAGCATCCATCTCAGAGAGCAGCAGGAGCAGGAAGAAGGCGTCTGAGAGCCCGGGCACTCCCCCGTGTCCTGTACATGACTGCAGGAGACCGAGTTCACCAGATTGGACTGAGGTTTAGAATCTACCCCCCAGCCCCCGCCACCCTCGATTTCCCAGTAGAAGAGGGCTCATGCAGAAGGTCTAGTTAATTAACATGAAATAAAACTACATTAAGAATTCCATGACTTGTGGCCCCAGAACCCTCAGTGACTGCACCAAGGCGGGGGTAGTTTGCTCCCGGAGCTCAGAGGAAAGAGCCCCAAGTTCATTGTGCTCCTGCCACAATCTGGAGTGGGACCAGCACAGCACCTCCTCCAAGCCCTGAGCGGACAGGGGCTCAGGGCCTGTGTGGGTATCTACCGGTGTGTAACAAAGGTCCACAAACACAGAGGCTTACAACAACACACGTCTATCACCTCAGTCTCTGTGGGTCAGGAGTCTGGGCGTGGCTTCCTGGGTCCTCTGCTCAGGGTCTCACAGGCTGCATTCAAGGTCCACTTTCAGCTCTCAGAGGCCGCCCACAGTCGTCATGTGGCCCCATCACAGGTCCTCTCACACATAGCTGCTTGCTTTTCCAAGGCCAGCAAGAGAGTCCCTGATTTCTAGACTTTCTTTTACAAGGCTTGCCTGATTGGGTCAGGCCCACCAGGCACAACCTCCCTTTTCATTAACTCAAAGTCAACCAATGTGGGACCTTAATTACGTCTGCAAAAACCCCTTCGCCTTTGCCATATAAAGAAACCCAATCTCAGGAGTGACAACCATCGTATCCATAGCCCTGGACACATTCAAGGGGAGGGGTTATACAGGGTGTGGACACCAGGGGGTGGGAATCTTGGGAGCCATCTAGAATTCTGCCTACCCTAGTGCCTGAGCCAAGGTATCCACAGGGAGGGCACACCCCACCCAGGTGATGCAGAGGGAAAGCTGCCCATCAACACCACTGGTGGATAGCGAGGAACCACCCCAAAGGGCCTGACCGCTTCCCATCACGTGAACCCTAAGGGCACCATGGGAGGCTAGAACTCAGACACTCAGGAGGGCCCGGGGGCTCAGCACTTCCCTGGTCTTGGGTTACCCGGCACAGCCCGTAATCTGGATGGGTCTTTTCCCTGCAACCTGCAAGATCCTCCCACAGGGACCTCAGCAAGTCACTCCCCTTCCTGACACCTGTTCCCTCACCTCTAAGGTGAGGCGCTTGAACCAGATGGTCCCAAACCTCCCTTCATCTGTGGCCTCTGTGATATGATCTTACCACACAGAGAGCCACCTACCGTGAGGGAGAAACCTACAACACTCAGATTTAAATCAGAAGATGCATTCCAGGCAGACGTGCGGAGTCAGACTCAGGCACAAATAACCTCCCTGGTAGGGGTAGAACACAGACCTTCTGACCTGTAACCCCACCGAGACATAGTAAGGTGCACACCAGAATCATCATTGCCTGTGGCGGAAATTTGGCAAAATCGGTACATAAGCAATTTACTTAGGTAACCAAAATTAATATTATTTTTGTATGGCTATACCAACTTTTAACTTTTTCTCTTGGCATTTTACCAACTTTCCTGTATTAGCATTAACAGGGAGAATTTCCACAGCGCCACTTAACCAGGCTGCACATAGGCACACACACTGCCATGCAGATGTTCCCCTTTGGAAAGAAATGCAAAGTTACAGAATTTGGGAGCCGGAGGGGCCCCTGGGGATTATCTGGTCTGAGCACCCAGCCGGTGTCTGAAGAATCTCTGCAACACCCCTGCCAACTGAGTCTTCAGTCCCTGCTCAAATATCTACAGTGACGGGGCATTTTCTGCTCCCTGAGGCAGCTCGTGCGTGCAGGTTCCTTTCTGTCTAGACCTGCCTTTTGTAACTTTCCACCCATCTGCCTCGTGGGGTCACTTGGCGAATGCCTGACCCACCGCTGCATAAACAGCTCCGAGATTTTTGAAGCAGTTATCAGGCTTGTACCAGATACTGACAACTGCCCAGCCAGACTCATGGCCCCTCGCTCCTTGTGCAGAGACCCCTGGTGTGGTTCAGATTGTTAATCTATCTCCTTTCAGGTAGACGTGGCCGGTGACCCCACCCTGGGGATCTGTAGGGAAGAGGTGCCCACCCTTCCTCCTTGGGGCTTCCTCGCAGAGCTGTAGTTAAGGATCAAACTCATAGCATGATGGATATCTGAGGTACAGATCTTCCAGAATATTCTTATCTGCTAAGGCCTTTGAGATAAGCAGGAATGGTCGCCAGCCCTCAAAACCTTCGCCCTTGCTTATCTCAATGGAAAATTCCAGCAGGGATTTCTGAACACCAAGTTAAATTCCTCAGCTCAGCAATCAGTTTGGTGCATGGCTGCCCGCCAGGCTGGGCAGAGCAGAGGGGAGCAAAGTCCTGCCAAGTTGCCCAGGGCCAGCAGGGTGGCACAGGGGCCCACACAGAGAGAGGTGACTGCCCCGTGTCCCTACAGGTCGTAACGGGGCAGAGGGCGCAGGCAGAAGAGGCCAGCTTGCCTGGCCAGAAGGAAGGGGGCGGTCAAGGGAGGCTCCTCCCAGGAAGAAATGTTGACACATGGATGGACAGACGGACAAGAAACTTACCCAATGGCCAAGACGAGGAAGGGCTTTCTGAACCCCAGAAGCAGTGTGAGTACAGTGTGGGGGCCTGGAGCAGGGCATTGTGGGGGCACTTGGGGACACGGTCAGCGAGGGCAGAGTCTGTGGCAGGTGGCCAGAGGGGTGAGGGCGGAGAGGCCTCGTCCAACTCCACCAAGACTAAAAACACAGCAAAAACAAAGTAACTACCTTTTATTGAGCACCTACTGCATACCAGGCCGTGTGCTAAGGCATGACTTGGGGTGTCTGATCTCATCTCATCCTCACAGTAGCCCCACCCTGTGAGCCACAGCCAGGGGACCCTCTGCTGGCCACTTCCAGCCGTGGCCCCCTCGAGGGTGAGGAGTTCATGGCCCCCCCACTTCTAGATCACGCTCCCAGATCCTGAGATCTCAGAATTCCCTGCCCAAGGAGCCCCAAGCCCACTTCCGGGACCTGCATGGGGCTTTGCACTAAGTCTGCCCTCCCAGAGCAAACCACGCCACTCTCATGTGCACCCGGGCCCCTCGTGGCTAGGAGGAAGCTGTTGGTGGGCAGCGTGGTTGGAGAGACAGGAAGATCTGATAAGTGAAGGCACTTAATATGTTCCGAGATCAGAGATTAAACATCATGCAGTTGGCACTGCCCCTAACTGGACTGAATTTAACACAATGTGAGTTACCATTTCATTAACATGCTTGATGAAACAGATAACAAACTACCTGCACAACATAGCCTGTTGGAGCCCAACTTGAGAACTTGGGCTTCATTTCTTGTCTCAGTGCAATAACACATTTTAACTTTCAAGTATACCGCTTATTAAATAAATGTTTTGAGCACAGCCTACCATGGGGACAGAATTTATGAGTGTGAACACGTTCCTCACCTTTCCTGCCATACGCCTTCTAAAAGAATCCTGTCTTTGCTTTTTCTGCTTCCTCCCTTCTCCCGGCCATCCACAGAGCGTCCCCGCCAGGCCAACCTGATTCCAGGCCTTATGGGGCTGGCCCGGGGGAGTGGATGGTGAGTCATGGGACTGAAGAGGAAGAAAAGGAGTGAGGACCCCCAGGGCAAAGTGGACCAGTGTATCTTTTCCATATTTGGTTTTCAGCCTGTGTCTTTATGTTTAAGGTGCATCTCTTGTAAACAGTGCAGTTATGTGCTGCATAATGACATTTTGGTTACAACGGACCATATATACCATGGTATTCCCAGAAGATTAGTACATATAGCC